TCGTATTTCTGAAAAGGATACGTTTGCTTATTAACGCATTGCATTACAGCCTTATTGAAAGGTATGTGTATTATTATTATTATTATTATTATTATTATTATTATTATTATTATTGGAAGGCAGTAGTACAACTGAAAAAATGCTCGTTGGGTATATGGAGCTTTGTTTTGGGAGATTCAGATAATGTTTGCTATTCCGTTAGCAGAAATTTGTAATACCATGAAACTGACGTTAATAAAATTGAACAACAAAAAACTGCGGTCTCATAATTTTGAAAAATTATTTGAACATTCCAATACCATCGTGAAGCCCATTGCAACATGTATTTGTACAACTCATATTTAATGACAGATGAAAAAGCTTATATAAACTGTCATGCCCTTTAATAAATAAAATGCACTTAAAATAAATAGAATATACCTGAAAGTTTGAAAAACGTGACACCAAGAATCCTTCAATATATTGAAAGAATTATCTGTACTGAAAATACTCTCTATTCTTCAGATCGAAAACAATAGCGGTGACGGATATCTTAATGTTCTCCTCTTCTCACGGACATCGACTTCCCCCTTACTCTCGTCATTGAGTTCGCGGTGCGAATGTTGGTGCCAGCCAATTCCATTCCAGAGGCGCGCCTGCGTTGGGGGGTCTAAAGAGAAATGCTTCAAGGCGAATCTCATCACGACGAGCCGGACGCGACCTACCTCCTCTGCCCGGGTGAACGATGGGCCTCCGAGTAATCGCACAGCGGCAACGCCACTTCGACCGCCATTAGTCTCCGGCGACGCGCATCGATTCACTGACCCTAATCCGACCCGTTCCTCTCCTTTGTAGACTGCGCTACTAGCACACCGGACATTCCTCTGGGAATCAGTAACAATTACATTGGGACATCTCAAAAGAAATGAACGGGAGAGGTGGCTCAGTGCATCAACAGATGTCACTGCAGTGCCTCTGATCGGGAGGGCCTAGGTTCGAGTCTCGACAGTAGTAGGGTTTTCGACACTAGCTTGTCAGCAAACCCAAATTCAGTCGCTGTCTGCAGGAGAGTTCTAGAGGCTGGCTGCTCTGATCCGTAATTTTCCTTGGTTTCTCCGATCAACACCAGGGGAATGCCGGAGCACCCCAATAAACGGGCCACGGACCGCGCGCATTCATTCCTTCCTCCTCCTTGTCCTATCCTCACACATCACACCACCTTACAGTAACATGCACCACACTACAGACATGCCAGGTGAGCGTTCGGGAACTTAGAGCTTGTCCCAACTGGGGTGGTGCCCTGCTGGTGGGAGATACCTAGTTGAGGGAAACCTCGCCAGCCGACGGTAGGTCGACACCATCCAGCGGGGGAAGATCACCACCACCTCTCGAGGAAAAGCATGCACTACACTTAAGGTACTAATGACTTTGTTAGTTGACACGCCCGGAATCACTAACAACCAAGCAATCAAAAGAAATGCACATATTGGTGACAATACTAAATGAACGAGGTAATCTGTCGTGCAATTACAACAAGTCTTTGGGGGAGACTTCTGTAAAATTTTGTAATGATAGAGTTTGAATGGATGTTCAATTCAGCAAAAGAATGAAGGTTGAGTTTTTTACTGTTCAATCGCAATTGCGTGTAAGGTACTGAAAGAGCGTAACGTCGCAGATAAACGACCTTGAGAGCCGTTCTTTATGTTTTTCACCAAGAGTGCATTTAGAAAATAACACCTATTTACTGATGAATAATTAGTCATTTAATCGATACACTGATGGATGGTATATTAATCAAGCCAAGTTTACGTAACAGATGAATCCCAGGTATGAATTGAAAAAATGCAATACATTTTTGCATGTTTTCAATTTCATAACTAATTATAAGCATTATTTAGTTGAATATCACAAAGCATTCGAATAGTTACCAACGGCGAAGAGATATAAAATGCCTTCTCCCTTGTACGGGATACATTTGCAAGAAATGCATAGAACACATTTACCTCCTCGATCGGCATGAACATTCAGACTTCGACCTGCCAAACCTGACAGTCAAAATGGGTGGTATGAATTTTTCCATTTTAAAAGACAGTTGTATGGGTTACTCGACGTATGAAGGAACATTAACGTTCTGCAAAACTTGCGGGATACCATCCAACCCGTCAAGTGAATAATTCCGTAGAATATGCTCAATGCTGTTTTTTTTTAATTCACCGGACGTATGTTTTTTTCTGTGTCATATATGGATGTTTTTGAGATGATTTCCGCGCATATCCAAGAGCCTTTTTTTCCGTCTTTGCCAATTATCGAAATTCATACTGATAGAATATTAATACATTTAGAATATTAATGGGGCATGCTTGAAATTACAATTTTAAATTATTCCAATTAAATTTCTTTTATTTTTTATTATTTATGTGATGTCCTCCTCTAATTGGGCTTAGGTGTTCGCTTCAATATTCTTAGATAATAATACTCAATGCAAACCATAAACGCTAAGAGATTTGTACATGCAAAAAGTAAATTGACAATTTTTTGTGAAGCTAACCAACATCAAAATTGAATTGCTATTGAAAAATGTTTATTCTGATGAGACAAGTTATCAAGCTGGCGTGTTCGGAAGATTGCTTCTTTAAAGTCAATTTCCCGAAAGTAGATATTTTTAACGCTAAATTATCTGGTTTTCAACTTACATTTCTATTAGGAAACTGAAATTTTCAGAATAGAGGTCCCCTACACTTACAGAAAAAATATTTTCCTGTTTATCTTGGTATTCTTCATTCTTCAAAACGTTATTAACTAAAAAACGCGGTAAATAAATTGAATTATGAGAAAACGTTTTTATCTACAAAAGTAGTTTTTTTTTAAAGCTGTAGTTTCAGTGTTATTATGAGTGATATACTTGTAACGTGTAAAAATTTCTACTAACTAACGTGAATAGATTCTGAAAGTTAGACTCAAACACTCAACATGAGAGAGTAATACATGTCCCTATTTTAAATTAGGATTGGTGTCATTTTACGGAATGGACAAGCAATTAGCCATTCGTTTTTAAAGAACTTGATATCAATTCTTAACAGAATTATTGTTACCCTGCCGGAGTAAAAAAGAAGCATTTCCTGACGCTTAGGTTGAATGCAAATATGTTATTGAAACGGCATGTTTTCAATCCCTCATAGCAATCCGAGAAATCTTCAAAATAAACGACTTAAAATCTATAATACGTAAAAAATAATATGTGAAAAATATGCTCTTTCAGTTTTTCACCCGGTCGATCACTGTACAACGCATTTAAAGCAGACGTCTAAGCAATGTTTATCGAAGCGCTTAGTACCGTGCACGAAACTTTACGTGTGTAATATCTGCCGGATGAGGAAAAGATAAATTTCAATTCTCGGAAATTGTTTTCGGTGACCAATACATATTTTGGAAATAATTGATTCTTTAATTGCAGGGAAAGTTTTTCACAGACATATCCCCGCATACCTTTTTTCTTTTTCTCATCGTGCTTATGCTTAATAAATTACAAATTTTACAATCGCAATGGCAGATGAACACAATTTAATTTTTCTTTAAGATCTTAATGAAGAATATTTCTACACTAAGCAGTCTCATACATTGGCGAAAAAACTTCCACTGGTCACATCAAATTCCTAACAACAATTTTCTTGTTTTTGCAAGCCAGCTCTCACCCATTTAAAAAATTAAAACTAAAATACTAGTAGACCTAAAACATCTATGACCGTCAATTTAACTGCACTTTCCTTTCAAAGCAAAATAACTTGGCAGAAAATTAGACTACACATTTTAGCAAGTTATAATAATTAAAAAAAATAAAAATTGATTTTTAGACACAAATTTGATAAAAATAGTTTATTTACAAAAATTGTTACATCGACTACATAGGGATCTAGTTCCTACACCATAAGTGTTCTATTCGTGTAAGAACGTCCTTCATGGAATACTTTCGTAAAAGGCCCGGGAGCGCGTGCAGCGCAACCAAACGGGCATACGAAGAGGCGTGGAGGGGCGCGCTTGAGCCGCGGACGTCCGATCTGCCTGACGTGCGCTCCGCATGTCACGGTTATTGACCCGGCGGCGGCACCACCCCCTTCCCCCCACCACCACAAGCGCACGCGGCTGTCAGCCGGAGACAGAAGCGCGCGATTTCCGATTTTTCCGGCGGCGCCCCGAAATTACTGCGAGGAGCCTCTTCACCGCGCCCCGCCCCTCTCCACTCCGCTCCGCTCCGGGCTTCTCGAGCCGACTGAAGTGCTGGAGACAGCGACGACGATGCGGCGGTGACGCCAGGACACACCCCGCCCTCTCATTCCCCTCCCACCGGAGGCGCGAGCTCAATGCCCGCCCCGCACTCCCCCCGCCCGCTCGCCACTTCCGCCGCCCGCCGCTCGCGCGCTGTTCGTCGCCCCCCCCCCCGGCGCTGCGGTTCGGCAAGCCGACAGACGCGGTCTCTTAGAGCGGGACAAGTTCGCCGACGCCACGCCCCCGCCCCTCTCTTCGCGCCTCTTCCTCCCCGCCACGCCCCGCGCCGGCGCTCGCAAGTTTCAACGAGCCACGCATTGTAATGAGGCCCCGCTCCGCCCCCGCCTCCAACCGGCCGCGCGCCCGCGTCGCGCCGGCGCTGCGTGCTACCAAGTTACGCGAGCGGTTGGCGCCGGGCTACAGATGTTAAACATGACTTAAAAGCGAAGTTGCCGGGACAAATTGAACCCTGCCTATGTTGTACAGGGTAGGCGGTAGGCGGGAGGCGGCGGAGCAGCCATGGTGACGTCCATGGCATGGCCAGGTGTGCGCTGTCAGTGGTTCGAAGGTGGTGGCGAAATCGGTCCCCATTGGGAAGGACGAAGCTGCAAGGGCTGGTGTCGCTGATCTGTGTTACTCTTCTAAAATCTAAGCGAGTCTTTCACCGGCAGCATAGTCTTCCATTTCGAGCGGTGATTTAGCGTGTAGGTGTGAGAGGGACGATCCTGTAAAAATTATAACTGTAATATCGAACGGTGATGGAGCAATGCAGGCAGCGATGCCAAGCCATCCACAAGACATCGCACCCAAATATTTGGATAATACCGTTCAGTAGCGAAATTGACTATCAAATTGTCATCGGGGTTGTAACAGCTGCTGAAGTATCCGGTGACATTTGTCATCATTTATTAGATGAACTTGAGAAATCATCGAGGTTTTTTGGTGTTTGCAGGTACCGCTTCCGTTTGCCGACAGAACGGACTTACCATTTCTTCAACGCGAGGGGATAACCTGCTCCTACAGGCAACAGTGAGTAACTTGGACGCTGAAGATCTCGAATTCATCTTGTTGGTTTCTCCGTGCCTCTGAAGTACGAGGAGTCGGAAGACAGTGATGACGTTGATGAGAAGAGTGACGATGAAGACGACACTGGGACGGAAGACCGGCTGTCGGACTCTGAGTCTGATCGTCGAGGATACGTTGGTATGCGCCGAGGAGGTCTGGGTTTCTTTGTCGTATCCTTTACAAATATCAAAATCAGTATTACAAGCATTGAACAATATAAAATGTACATTTATTAAAGTAATGGTTGTATAACGGTCGACCACATTTAGTCAGTGTGGTTGCAGTGTGGGTAGACTCAACGTCTTTATGAAGGCTTAGATCAATCCTGTACTGGGCAGAGTCGTATACGGAATCGAGATTAATTTGCCTTTTTGTGAATATGTCATGGGGTGCCGCACATTCCGCCAAGACTAGACGAGAGGAACCTAGAAGTGTGGAGTAGTGTTCGACGTAACTTCTTTTGAATACACAGTGTGTCTTCAGCTATAAATGGAGAATCCATTGACACGGCACAATATAATAACTACCATAAATTACTACATATTAATACAAAAACATGACAAGAAACATTAACTCGGAAATAAAAAAGCAGTCTAATGGTGTATATTTTGTTTTTTTTAAATTTCTGTATTAAATTTTCTTTGTGAACAAATATATTAATTTCGTTTGTAAATAATAAACAATTTATATGGTTCTAGAGTGTCTATACGTTTCTGAAATGCAAATGTTTGCATATAGGAAATATTTTTTCAAACGTACTCTTATACAGCTTTCAAACGTAGAGCTTATTGCGGCTTAGTCATTCGGAATATTTTAGTAGTTTTTAAAATAAAATGAATCGATGAAAACCAGAACGCTATAAGTAACATTTTAGAGAAACCCGGTCATTTAACTTAATATCACTGTCAAGTCGTGGTGCTTTGTTGCATCATTAAAACCACGGCATTTCAATTATTTATTAAAACCACGGAAATACATTGCCAAGGAAATATAGAATAAAATAAAAACGTTTTTCTCCGAATTAATAAAATGTCTTAATACCGTTCAAATATGCTTAAAATTGTCTTAAGAGCCTATTTTTCGGGCACTCTGTATGTCCAAATGTCAAAAAGAATATGCTCACCTGTTTTTTAGCCACAGCCCGAGCAGCAGATGCTTCCGATTTTCTTGACGTCGCTTTTGACTTTGCGGCCGTGGACGACAAGCCCTCAGGCACTGTTGATCACAGAGCAAAGGAACCGACAGTAAAGGAAGTCTTTGTCCTTTGTGTAGGCGGAGGAAGATTTAAGGAAAGGAGCTTTTGTAAAGTACGGGCTTTGGCTTCGAAATTAAGAAATCTTAGCTTTACTTGTGGGAATGTACAAATTCAGGCTTTGAATCCAGCTAGATTTTTAAATTTTTTCATAAATCATAAAATATTTTACCATTTGATTCTTATTTTTATAACATTTTAATAATAAATTTTTAACATTTTTCCTAAACATAACGAGTCACATTCTTTCCTTTTATCAATTTTCTTTGACGCATTTGTTGTAAATCTGAATTATTGTAATTTAGCATCTCTAAAGTTTTGAAAAAAGGTCTACTTGAAGCGCGAATCACTAGAGTCATTACAACGTACGTCATTCAATAGTCAGTCAAATAAAAACGAAACATCGGCTACTACTAAATCAGATATCGCACCGTTATGGGAGAAAATTTTGGCTTTAACACCACTGAATGAGTGCTGTATTTTCCGAGTTTGGCCAACCTACATGCCGATGCTCATAGGCAAGGCAAATATGGGATTCGCGCCCAATATCTGACAGCGTAGTGGGAACTGTTTCCAGCTGCCGAATGCGTTGCACCAACTGCTATTTATCGTTGTATGGTGGTTTAATACAAAACACGTGTATGAGTGGACACGACATACGCACATATGTGTGAGGCCATCAATGGATGACGTCCATGGCCATGGCCAGTCACGCGTCAACAAAGAAAACGTAGTATCAGACCATCTCATTCGGGTAGATTGGAGGAATGGATTAGACAAAGTGACACAAAATCTCAATATCCATCATATATCTGCTTGCCCAAAAATTCATGATAAGTTGCTATGCTCTAAAATGCCTCAGCTCAAAAGTGACTTGGCAAGGCGTTGGTTTGGGTCGGGTGAGTAATCGAGACAGTGTGCGACTGCTTTTACACACATTTACAACAAAAATTGTGAGCAGAAGAAATAACATCGCTTAAACATTGGCGAAGAGTATTTTCATAAATAAAATTTCTCTACTTGAAGAACGTTCTCGATTTCATTTGCCTGACCCTCGTTGTTATGAAGTATATTCGCATTTTTCTCTATTAGATTCAAAGATAGCCCGTGTAGATTCAGGGACAGGAGTAGTGTTCAAAGTATAAGATTGCACTAACCATGGTCTTCTTCCTTTTCCTTTTGTGTTGCCTCTGATCTTTTTGGAGACTTCGAGCGACCATCCCTATGTGGTCTTGAAGGTCCTGGCAACGCCTCGAGTTCAGGCAGGTTGCCATCACGCACGTGTTTCTCTCTCTTCCTCGCGTTCCTCCTCTCACTGGCTTCTCCTCGTGGTCTCTTTGCTTCCACTAGTCGCTGAGGTGGCATGGGTTCTTTTCTCTTCATTGACCGCAACGACGCCAGCCTCTCTTCCTCTGAATTCCACCGCCTGAGAGATTTCTGTGACTTCACCTCCTCTGCATGCCCCTCCAATAGTGATACCGTTTTTCCTGAAGTCGTCGCCTTTAATTCCGACTTTGGAGATTGATCTGTGAAACAAAGAAAAAATATTAGTTTTCTTTGTGTAGAATTCAGTTTGATACCCAAAGCTTAGAAGCGAGGACTTGCAATTCCACAATCTCGTTAAATAACGCAAAACTGCGTTGTCAAAAACCTGAACTAAAGAAGGTCCGCGTGAGACAAGGCTTTCGGTAGTATAACAACCCGATAGTGTATTTACTTATTATATTCACGTTTTCGAGTTCAAACCCAATAGAATCCGTGACTTCTAGGGGCGAAAAAATTCTACGTACGCCTTTCTTCGGAGAGGAAGTAAAGACGGCAGAAGCGAAGCACACTGTCCCATGTTGTAAATTTACTGCATGTAAAAGAAACCCCGAAGCTACATTCAAATCGCCTGTTTCATCGCCCGATACCTTCATTCTCCGCTGTTTGGAGAAAGGAGCTCAGAGAAATTTGCCGGGTCAGACAGAAGAGCAGTCCTGATGACTTGAGCCTCACCACGTAAAATAAGGCATCATTGAGTTGAATTTAAGGGGCTCCTCAGTGCTAACGCGGATGGTCACACACACGCAAAGCAGCTTCACGCATGAAAGAATGCTTTACAAGACGTGCGCCGTGGACGCTGCAGGGGTAGTGCCTATCGAAGTTGCGTGTGTGTGTGTGTGTGTGTGACAGAATACGCTCCAGAGACGCCTATTCCCCCCGGCATCCCTCAGGAGAGACCCCCCCCCCCAGGACCAATTTTGCTTGCTTACCATAGCGACGCTACACCAGGGCAGCCCTCCCGAAGACGTCTGTTCGTACCGTCGCCTGTGTGGATCGCGTAGCTGATGAAAGAATGTCTGAACCACTGCCCCATGGCTGTTAAGTGATATGTTTGTACGGCGCTGCTAATACAAAGCGGCCGATGTAACTCTCTTCAGTTGCTCATCTCCGTTTCCCTCTTCTCCGTTCTCTCTCATCTCGTTCTCCTCTCGTTCCTCTTCTCTCGTTTTCTCTCATCTGTTCTCTCTCTCGTTCTCTCTTCTCGTTTCTCTCTCTCTCTCTCGCTCGCTCGCTCTCGCTCTTGCTCTCGCTCGCTCTCTGTCGCTCTCTCTCACTCTCTCGCTCTCTCACTCTCCCTCGCTCTGTCTCGCTCTGTCTCGCTCTCTCTCGCTCTCATTCACTCTCTCTCGCTCTCGTTCGCTCTCTCTCTCGCTCTCGTACGTTCTCTCTCGCTCTCGTTCGCTCTCTCTCGCTCTCGTTCACTCTCTCTCGCTCTTTCTCGCCATCTCTCGCTCTCTTACTCTTTCTCGCTCTCGTTCGCTCCCGTTTGCATTCTCTCGCTCTTTCTCGCTCTCTCTCTCTCTCTCTCGCTCTTGCTCGCTCTCGTTCGCTCTCTCGTTGTCGCTCTAATTCTTTGACTATCACTTTCTCTCTCTCGCTCTCGATCTCTCGCTCTATCGCTCCCTCGCTCTCGCTGTCGCACTCTCCCTCTCTCAAACACACACACATTATACATGTAGGTAGACCAAAGTAAAACATTTATTTCACTGACGAGAGTAGTGACCATTAGAAGTTGATGTGGCCGGAATTATCAATAAAACGAGTGTCAGGCAAAAACCCACGGGGTGTAAAATCAGAGAAGAAACGTAAATAGTCACAAAGCTACTCACCCGGACCTCGGTGCAACGAGGTGGATTTCTGCAACTCCCGCTCTTTGCTCAGTGTTTTGATTCTTTCATTAAGGCTCTCCCTCCACGGCCACGAATGAATCGCCACCGGCTTCTCTTCTGACGGACCTGGCAGCACCTCTGAAAACGAGAATGTTTCCGTGCCAAGTAAGTTAACACTCTGTTGATATTGAAAGAACTAGAAAAAACTACTAAACCACTGGTGCTAAATCAGCATCTACTTTCTAAACATTTTTTGTCACGCGAAAAATACTGAACATTTCGAAACATTTTACGTGTCCTTATTTCAAAATCTATCTTTAAAAAACAGATTTCATTAAGGGAAAAATCTCTATCTTTAATATTTTGGTTGTAGGAAGGCCCATATAACATTTTGTTACACTTGCAATACAATACATCAGCTTTTAACGAACATGAATCTTGCACCGTTCTCGTAAACGTCCAACACACAATTTAATCAAAAACGATGAATCCATACTTTTTGAAAATTTTGAAAATGTCCCAGAGGATTTAACCCCCAGAACTGAAATATCCGATTCAAATTCAAGTTACCGCAACATCAACCAGATCGATTGGGGGACATCAGTTTTGGAGAAAATCAACTGAACGGTTTAGCCGCCAGCGTTGTTCGCAGACGGACATTTTGCCGACACTCCGTTTTTGGCAAGGTCCCACAAAATTTTCTTGTAAATTTAGCAACTATATTTATCCAC